TGGGGTCTTTTATAGGGAGAGGCTTCTGGGGTGGGTGCAGAAGGTGAGAAGATATATTTTTTAAAGGTTAGGCAAGGAAGAAGTGGGAGAGTGGGACTGTTAAAACCTGCCCACTTTAGAGATCAAAGGGGAAGCCTGCTGTGTTGGCTAAACAGTGGAGAAAAGTCTGCTTTGGAGTTCAAAGACCAAGGTGCTTTTCTCAGGTCCTTGAGGAACCATGAGGCCCTCTTGGTGAGGGGGCAGGGCTATCTGAACCCTAACACTGATGTACAAGCCTGGGCTAAAAATAATCAAGTTCAATGGTATTTCTACCATTCCTACAATCCTACAGGAGCAATGTAACTGAAAGAAAAAACGGATTGTTAAGGAACAGTTAAAAGCTTTAAACACAGAAGGAACCCCACAAGGGTGGAAAAAAAGCCCTTCCAGAAGTCATACGATTGTTGAATAAAAATTCCAGTACTGGGATGGATTGCCTCCCTATGAGCTGTTGGCCAAAGGAGCCCTAGAGGTGCCCAAAACAATAAAGGTGATTGCCAATAATGTTGGTTGTACACTGGAAGTGGATGGTAAGACCCTATTGCTGAAGACACCACATGATTTGAGCATGGGAGAGGGAGAAATCAAGCTTGGACTAAGCTGGAATCTCTCTGCCACTGAATGGGTGGCTTTCATAGTGCCAGAAAGTGCTATGCACCCCATCATCCTATTCAACAAGGGACCCTGCATGCTGTGCTATCAACATGCAGGAAGCGAGATGCTCCTGCTGGTGCAATGGTGACACGTCTAGTGTATGTACAACCAGCATATTTTCTATTGGATCCAGTGCCTGCTCCTAGGGATGGAACACATATCTGGTATTGTAGACCAGGCCAACCCCATGTGGCAGGGGAAAATACAGGTCCCAGTGAGATGGCCACTACCATTGTTTTGTTAGGTGAATGTGATGCACCTGCTAAAGCACCATTCAAGAATTTGTGTTTACGCCCATAGGTTAAGTTATTATAGAAGCTACTGTTTAGATGTTCTTGCCTCTTGCTGTATATGTTTTTATAGTAGATGAAATACCACTGAAATAGGCCAAGAGCCCATGGAAAATAGATAATGCAGAGACCCAAGAGTCCAGTGCCTAGCCACAATGAGAGGAAGAACATCCCACACCTGTCATCCCCTCCAACACTCAGGGACTTTTGCAGAAGAGATGGGCTAAAAGATTATAAGAGCTGGAGGAAGGGATGAAGTGTTACCTGGAAGTTCCTCCAACCACTACGGCAGCAGGCTATAGTCACACCTCCTTCCCACACTCCTCAAAAGAATGAGGGAGTAGGGGAGCCAGTTAACCCACTCACCCAATCAGTTGACCTTAGCTGCATGAGAGGGAGGGGCTAAGGATATATAAGCCAAGAACACCATAAGGCACCCCTCTTGCCATTTTATGTGGCTGTTGGAAAGTCACAGGATCTATATTTGAGTATGTACTTTCCAGGTCAGCCATAAATGAGGAGGGGGAACCCACTCTTCTGCAAGTAAACCCACAACCCATGCTCAGTTAGTAAGCCCAATAAAGTTGTTAGGATTTTCAAAACAGCAGTTTTGGAGAATTAGTGCCTCAGGTTGCAGTAAGGATGGTAGAAGGAGGGAACCAGATGCCACATGCACCTTCCAACAGTGAATTTGACTTTACAGCTATGAAGAAGAAAAGGAGAGATTATATTTTTCTGAAGAATTCAGAAAAGTGGGAAGACTTACAGAAACCTATATGTCTGTGGCTGGGTCCATAAGCTCTGCAATAGGAGGCAAGATTCCAAACAGAAAAAATTCACTACCTCATTAATGCATTAGGTGGGGACAACAGTCCCTGAGAGACAGTCGAGTGCTATTTTCAGGACATAGCACAAGATGTGCAGTTACTCCATATTGTACCCCATCACAGAATCCTTCCTGGAACTGTCTCAACATGAAACCTAGCAAGGTTGGGACCCCTCCCATTTTTTCATCATCAACTGCAAGCACACAAACAAGTGACAAAACAAAAAACAAGACAATGAAGACACAAAAGACCAGGACAAACATACAGTGGCCATATAACTCATGTTCCAGAACCAGAAAACAGTGGGGCAAGAGAATGACCATGTCTGCTTCCCCTTTGTCTCCCTGTTCTCCACACCAGACAAGGAACCAAGGAAACAGAAAACTTACCAAAGCACTTTCTGGAGTCTTTTCATGACTGACCAATTTTACTTTCATTTTAGAAATTTAGAACATGGTGATTTTTTTTTTTTTTTGAAAGACAACACCCTGGGGCTTCCATGGACCTTCAACATCACAGAGACTTCTATCCCATATCTGGCCTGTCCCTAACTGGGCCACACCATGGGCTCCTGTGGGTCTTAAGAGTCATAGAGACTGCTTTCTAGTATCGGGCCTCTCCCTGGGTGGGCAACACCCTGAGGCTCCTATGGGTCTTAAGAGTCCTTGGCTTGTTCCTTGGTGTACACCCTGAGTCTGGGATCACCTTTCCCAGGATCTTGGTGGGTCCTCCAAGTGTTATGGTACTGAAAAGATGCCCAGACAACTGTGAAAGACCACACGGACTCAAAAAGTTGCAAATTAGCTAAATGTATTTAGATGGCCAGAGACTGCACTCTCTGAGCTGATTTAGAAGATATCACCCTAACTGGGAGGGGATGACGGTATTTAAAGGTAAAAACCACAAGACATCTGGCATTTTAGTTAGACAATTACAAGGTGTTAACATTTTACAAGTTTTTCATTCAGATAAACATAACATTTGTGAAACTTAAGCTAATTCCTGTTGAACAAGCAAGCAGGTGTACAGAAGCACAAGATTAGCATCCTGTCTCAAAAAAATAAGGTGGAGAAAAATAAAAGATGACACCTGATGTTGGCCTCTGATCTCCACATTTACACAGAAGGATGCACACACATATATACATGCGTGGACTTGGAATAAATGATTGATACATTAGAAATGCAGGCATCAATGTGCTCACACAAGAACCATTAAAAAGCAAGAAAGCATGAAGCTTCTAACACAGTGATTTTCTACAAAAAGGTGCTACTGTAAAAGAAATCTATGAAATGTTGAAAAGTAACTCAAAATATTCACAAAGAATTTCTAAACAATGCTAGAGAACTGAAAAGGAGCCACAGTGAAATCAGGAAAACAATTCCTGATCTAAACAGTAAATTCAAAAGAAAGAGACAGAGAGACATAGAGACAGAGACAGAGAGATCTTTAAACACTCAAACGAAATCACAGATTTCAAGCAAACTAAATGAAATAAAATTTAGCATCGAGAGTCAACAGCAGGCTAGTGTATATAAATAAGAATTTCTGACTGAAATATAAGCATTTAAATAATTATCCATCCAGACAAAAAGAAAACAGGAAAAAAAAGAAAGGAATCCTACCAAACTTAGTAAATGGAATTTAAAAATATGTTTTCTGCCTTTAGTCCCAGCACTTGGGAGGCAGAGGCAGAGGCAAGCAGATGTCTGTGTGAGTTCAAGGCCAGCCTGGTCTACATAGTGAGTTCTGGGACACCTGGGGCTACAGGGAGACCCTGTCTCAAAAAGACCAAAAAACAAAGTAAAACATGTTTTCACAGGGATTTTCAGATAAGGTAGGCAAAAGACCATAAAAAGTCTATCAAATGATATAGCTGAATATTCCTCAAATCTTGAAACTAATTTTTATATGGGTACAATATTTCCCCCAAAATGTCCATGTGCTGAGGGCTTGATCACCATCATAGCTCTGTTGTGAAGGACTGTGGACCTCTAGCAGGTAGCTGCATATGTGAGATATTTTGGTGACAGTGTGTATACACTCAATTGGAATTCTGGAATGTTAGACTCTTCTTTATCTTTCTCTGATGCCCAACTTCGTATGAAGCAGGTTCCCCTACCATGTGTTCAGTGTTTTTATCATATATATACTTGATAAAAACCAATGTTCTTAGACCACTTAATATAGGACTGGGAACTATGGAAATAGAATATGCCAGCACTTTTCTTCTTCTAACTTAATTATCACATGTATTTTATTATGATGATAGAAAGCTGAGTGATACAAAAGTTCACATTCACATCCAGGAACCAAAAAAATCCCAAGTAGACACAACTGAAAATTACCCTTGCTAATGGATATTTTTATCAAACTCCCCGGAGTCAAAGCAAAGAGAATTATAAAAGGAGTAAGAGAGAAAGGTTTACTTCTCACATAAAGACATCCCCATGATACTGATTATTGTCAGCAGAAACTGGGATGATATCAATGTCCTGACAGCTAATTCAGAGGCCAAGGTCTCTAATTACTCTGGTACAAGTTCACAAACTACTAGCACACATGGTCCAAAGGTATATCAAAGTGGTAAAGAACACACATGCATACACACACACACACACACACACACACACACACACACACACACTAGATACCAGCATAGTCATCGGGCCAAAGTTATGCTGAGTGAAGGAAGCTTATTAATGGTGAAACAGATGGAAATAGCAAAAACATAATATTAAACTGTTCTAAAATCAATTGTAGTGCATAGCAACAATCCTGACATTATGCTAAGGACCACTGAACTAAAATTGTTGAGTTGGATATGATTAACATGTCAATGCTCATAGGAAAGAAGTCAATGAACTGTGATCTGTGATATAAAAAATTAGATTCGGCAATTATAGTTTTGGTTCAGGTTCTATACTATGAAAGCCACATTTTTAAAAAAGAAAGAAAATCTCACATTTTACTCTTCTCATATCATAAGTGCACCACACGTGTGGGTTACTGAGAACCAGGAGTCATTTATCACATCCATATCTGCCTTTTGATTTTTTTGCACTTGGCATCCAGGGAACATGACTGTTCCACATGTGTTTACTTTGGTGTTCACAAGTTATAGTTTAACCAATGTTTCTTTTTCAACTTCAGCAGGAGCAGAGCCATGCTATTTGAGAGAAACCTTCAGTTTAACCAAGATGTCTATGAAACTGATTGCAGTTTTGCTCCTACTGCAGCTGAGTGGTTTCTTTGGGTGTGGGAGTTGTGGAAAGGTGCTGGTGTGGCCAGTGGAATTCAGCCATTGGCTCAATTTAAGGACAATCCTTGATGAACTTGTGAAGAAGGGTCATGAAGTAACTGTTCTGAGACCTTCAGCTTCCTTTTCTCTGGGTGCTGACAAGACATCTACCATTACATTTGAGACTTACCCGACATCATTATCCATCTCTGACTTACAGGAAATTTTTGTGGAAATATTTAGGAAAAGCATTTATGAACTGCCCAAACAACCATTTTGGAAATACTATTTAACATTTCAAGAAATTGTTTGGATGTATTCAGATTATTTTGAGAATCTCTGTAAAGATGCAATTTTGAACAAGGAACTTATGAAAAAATTACAAGAATCCAGGTTTGACATCATCCTAGCAGATAGCTTCAGTCCCTGTGGTGACCTGCTGGCTGAGATTCTCAAAGCACCCTTGGTGTTCACCCTGCGCTTCTTTCCTGGATCCACATATGAAAAGTACAGTGGTGGACTCCCACTGCCTCCTTCCTACGTGCCTGTTGTTCTGTCAGAACTCAGTGAGCAGATGACGTTCCTGGAGAGGGTGAAAAATGTAATGTACATGCTTTATTTTGACTTTTGGTTCCAAATGTTTAATGAGAAGAAGTGGAATCAGTTTTACAGTGAAGTTCTAGGTAAGCACGGTCTTTAGTTCCTATTGGGGAGTTCCAAATGTGCTGTGTAAATGAAGGTGAACATGATTGAATAGAAAATCAGAATGATTTATATTTCATGAGCACATTGTTTAAATGTTTATGAAATTGTCTGCCAAACTCAAAGATCTGCAGAAAAGTTTATGATGCAGTTTTCAAGGTAGAAAGCCTTGACTATCACTTGAAGAAAGGCACAAACCAAAAAAACAAAGTGCTGAGATTTTCTCTAAGTAATTACATATACATGCTAATAATCATTTTATCTTATCAATTAAAACAGTAATTCTGCCTGACTACTTTTATTATTATTACTATTACTAACATTATAATTATGTTTATTGTTATTATTATTATTATTATTATTATTATTTGCATGATTTGGGAGGGCATGCATGTCATGGAGGCATTTGTGGAGTATAGGGCAAATTTGTGGAACTGGTTCTCACCTTAAACCTTGACACTGGTTACAGAGATTGAACTCACAATCTTTTGCCCAGCAAGTGCTTTTAACCACTGAATCATCTGGCTGACCTCTAAAAGAGTAGTGTCAAATCCACTCAGTGTCTTCATGATGGCAGCCATGCCAATAGAGGACTTAAAACATATTTCTGACACAGATATCTATATACCACTGAAGTATTTTTCCCTTTACATGGATTACTTTTCTCATTTAAAAATTGAAATAATACACCCCGTTCCCCCTTGCAGCCTTGGGCACAGGACTGCTTTGCTGTTTGTACCCCAGATGTCTGGAACACCCTTTTAGTCAAGACCCACCCACTGCATCCTAATTCCTTGCACTCAGGTCAGCTCAATTTTCCAGCCTCGTTTGTTAAACCCTTCAGAGGCTGTCCCATTCCCAACTTGCCTTTGGACTCCTGAGACAAGTATTCTATCCTGACAGGTGTGCAGTGCACCACTAATCCGGAAAACCTCTTTTTTCAACATATGGAGGCTATGGCAATGTTCCATAGTTGGTCACACACAGAAATGTGGGTCTGGGAGATACCCACGCCTAAATGTCATGTCTAGAGTGGAACCTCTAAACCTAGGGCTCATGGAACACAGCATAGCAAGGGGTGCTCTCTGCCAGTGAAGCTACCTTATACAACAGCACATGATACACCACCCACAGGTCAGGGACCATTGTGGAACAAGGGAAGGAAAGATTGTAAGAGCCAGGGTTGGTCCATGAACATAGGGAAACAGAGGCTTGCAAGTGACTGCAAACTTGTGGAAATGATAGCATCATGCCCATGACCTATGTTGACTCAATCAGACAAGGGCCCAATGTGGAGCGACGGAAATGGGTGGTGGCCGGCCTTACTCTGGAAACTGTTGACAATGATTGCTGCTGGGTGAGGGATAGTAGAACTTCTTTAAGATCTCTGAATGGGTTGACTGGACTCCAGTAGAATGGCTTGTACTGATGGAATCCAGATGCAGAGGTTTAACCTCATGGGACATAGCATATATGACAGAGTGCATGGGGTCTGGTGGGTGGGCCAGCTGTGGGGAAGGCATAAGTGGGGATGGGTCTAAATTTGATTGACAGCTGTTGTATGTGGTGAAAGAAAACTCAATAAAAATATTAAAGAAAAAATTGAAGTATTTTATCTCTTCAATAATGAATTTCTTCACAGTTGTGACATGTACTGTTTCAATTCTAGACACACAAAGCTAAAAAATTCAGGATTTTAGATAATGCATATTAATATATGAGAGTCTAAAATACTCTGTTCGATATATTATAATGCTGAAGTATATGTATAGAAATTTTTATAGTGCTTTAAACTGTAACTATTTTTTAACAAAAAAGTTAGAAGAAACAGACATCTCTCTTTATCTATTTTTAAACTCGTATAATCCAAATTACTGCAAATGTGAATCAGATGCAGTAGTAGGACAAGGCTTTCAGGCATACCAAAAAAAATTCCTCTTTGAAGTCAGCCAGGGCTACAGAGTGAGACCTTGTTTCAAAAGGAAAATGAAAACCAAGACCCTGCCCCCCACAAATAGTGGGTGTCATGGAATACACAGTAATCATAGCACTTATGATGTGGAAGAAAGAGGATCAAGAGTTCAAAGTCAGCTTTGACTACACAGTGAATTCGAGACCACTCTGGGTTCCATGAGACTATCTCAAAATAAAACACATAAAATTATCAGTTTACTTAAAACCAGCCCTCAAGTATCCAGCTTCTACATAGGGCAAACTAGGTGGAGTACACCATGGAAAGGTGGTTCCATGAGTATGTCAGACAGGATTCATAGGTAATGTCATTCAAGTATTGGTTTATACTTTCAATGCCATAATGAGATACTGAAGAATTATGAAATACTGAAGTGAGTTACAGTTGTGGTCTCTTCTCACAAACTTCTCATCTTGTGACTTTACATACCTCTAAACAGAAATATAAATATGTGCTATAAATATGTATGAACACAAGCATATGTGTGTGTATGTATATACAGACATTTGTTATAGCAAAGTACAGATACTTTTAAAAACTTCTGGCTACATTATTAAAATTTCTTCCAGAAAATTGCCTGCACATTCATATTCACCTGTCGTGTGTCGGCTCTCAGTGCTTCACTTTGCTTCTTCCCCTTCAGGAAGACCCACTACTCTATATGAGACAATGAGCAAAGCAGACATGTGGCTCATTCGGACCTACTGGGATCTGGAGTTTCCTCACCCCACCTTACCAAATTTTGATTTTGTGGGAGGACTCCACTGCAAACCTGCCAAGCCTCTGCCTAAAGTAAATATATTTTCTTTTGTTTGCTTCTGTTTGCCTTCCATTTTCAGTGAGAGTGGCCATATTGTATTCATTCAAAATACTTGTCTCAAAGCCAGAGTCACAGGAATTAAGGTAAAGAGAGCAACTGCCAACAGAAATTCATGCATCCATTCTACCACAAGTGTCTGAGTTTCATTTTTGGGTACAAAATGGAAACCTGTAGAACTCTTGAGGATAAAGACAATTAAAGTATTGTTAATGCTTATGAGAATCTCAGTGACTCATTCAAAGCATTTCTCTATTCACATTAAGGGAATGACAGTGCCAACAGGATGATTGGAGGGAGGCACAGAGCAAGGGCATAAAGGGTGTGCAGGCGATGTGGCTCAGTAGAGGAGAGCTGGCTTCACAACCCAAGGGCTTCACCAAAGAAAAGGTAGAAAAAGCAGTCTCATCATACAATATGAAATAGTAAGTTTAGAGCCAAGTCACATAAGCATGATTTGAGTCTCAGTTAATAATGGTCAAATATTTTTATCCTTCATAATGTGAATTGTTCCTCTAAAGCACTTGCTGCCTATTATTAGATTCTCAAAAGTTTCTGTGAACTTGAAGGAAGAGATATTTGACAAAGTACAAGAAAAGAAGAAATGAATATTTTTAATTATATATTTCATGGTAGGAAAAAGAGGATTTGGAGCATTCTCAGATTAGAATATGACTAGTATTTATTGAGTGAATATTCTATTTACT